GGACTACGGACATATACTCATCGCCAACGGAACAGAAAGGACAAAACGATACGTACAAACAACAGAACAAATTGCACTAAGACTAATAACACGAATAAGACACCCCCAAAACCCACTGCACAACCCTTCCAACCAACTACTATACGAACGCACAAACATGACAACAATTTCAGAAAGACTAATACACTTGCAGACAAAATGGACAAACAACCCCCACAACTGGACCATACTGGATCCCCTTTGCCTCACAAGACCGACAAAACACTCCCGTTTTCGTTCCCCAACAGATACTTTACTAGAACACCTACAAACGCAACTGAACTAAGGACTGAGATATGTTTGTTTTGTGAGCCAGGAATTTTTATTTTTTATTTTTTTATAGCTGTCTAATTTATACGAGTGTTAGAAATAGAAATTAATTTTAGAATAAGCTAGGCTAAGACATATGTACTAAACAAGGGCGGAAAGACCGATTGGGTCGATAGCCTTTTTCTGTAGGAAATAAAGATTATTTATATATATATGTATTTTACGACGTTCTGAGATACTTAATTTTCAACATATTTTTGGTCGTAGTCACCACTAACCAGTCACCTGTAACCAGTACAACTCAGTTCTCGAACGTGTGTTTGTAAAACGCTTAATACAATTTTATTCGTTTTGCTTTATAAATTCTTTCCGTATTGATAAAATTAATAAGACCTGCATTCAGTCCTAGTGTCATGCTAAAATGTTCATTGATGAAGTCTTTATTACCTTCAGGAACCATGTTAAATTGTCTCATCTTGTAGTTTTTTGCGTTTCTGCCAATTACTTACATAATATAACGCACGATATACATTTTTAGAAGCAATGTAAGTGCAACAAAACGGTATAGCATTGAATTTTTTTTTGTGTCTTGAAACATGAAGGCCTGTTATTACTAACAATTCCTAAAAAGTGGTTTATTTATTATAAAATTAAAAAAATGTTATTAACAAAATGCCGTGTATTATACAGGTTTAACCAGAGATTAATAGTCTAATAATCTCTGATTAATATTATTTAATTTCTTCATTCTTACAACCCTACTACAAGCAAGGCTCATCCGCCAAATGTCATTAAAAAAGTTTTACATATTTTTATCCATTCCTGATATGATGATCTTATAGCAATTTTAAACACCTTTCAAATGAGCATGTAGAGATTCGCTATTATTCTCAAAAACCAATAGGAATTGACCACACTAAAGCGCCAGATTTATAAAATCAAAAAGTCATTTTATATAACTTGATATAAACAGAAACCACTATGCAGGTTCAATTTTCTCGCACTATTCAATTCTGTTTGCCTGGTTTTGAACATTATTTTTTCATATAACTTTGAGGACATTGCGAACATGTCAAGATGATGTCAACACTATAATAAAATAATTATAAAACATTACATCTGAATTGAAGCGATTGAATCAATATGAAATTAAAGCCATTTTTTTACATACTGAGCAGTTTTATGATTAAATAACAGCCAGAATTTCAACCATTAATATTAATTAACAGTCACTCACCCTAAAATGAATGCAGACAAGAAAAATGTTCTTCCAATCGGCAACATTAAATTCTTAAATTAAGAAAACATGAAACTTTTCCCCTTTATTTGTTACTAAAAATGTCTGAAAATATAATTAAAAACAATAATCAGCTGTTTACTGTTGATATTCTCTGATAGATGAATTGCGGGTGCAGACAGCCAATGATAACAGACCCGAAGGAACGAAGATGGAAGATTGTTACGTAATTGGCTGTACTAAAATCACAATTTTAAATATTCCTTAGTTCACGGGTGTTATAATATTAAAAATCGTTCAATTTGCCTTAAAAATTTATAAAACCACAAAGGAAAGTTGGCGTGTTTTTAAACTAAAAGTAGGACAGACTTGTGTTAGTTTAAATTATAAAATAATCACTATTCACCGTTATGCCATCTCTCTCATATACAGTCGCTATTACAGGCGTCTTTAATAACTCAACAAGAACGCAATTTATTTTGACAGGTGACAGTCAGCTGATTGGCATAATCAATAATCAATACAAAAATGTCTGCCAATGTTATTTAGGTTTGTGTTTTCCTTGTGAATCTAATGCTATGTATAATGATTAAGTGAAACACACGTGTTATCAATTAGAATATGGTAATATCAGGAACACATCATGTAGAACTTTGTTAGTTATGCGTTATGCGGACAGTGAAATTACAAAAAAAATTGTGAACGAAGTATTTTTAGAACATTTCTGAAAGTTTAGGCACATTTCATTTTAACGCGTACAAAGGAATTTCGGTAGCTAATTGGGCAGGTAGAGTATTTCTAATCACTCTTACAATTTTGCCGAAAGTCAAAAGTTTCCGTGTAGAAGTACTTGCTGAATACAAGTACATACAAAGAGAACGTCGTCCATTCAATCTATTTGACTTTATTTTGTGCTTGAGTTAACTGAAACATGGATTCTGTAGGCGAATATGAGTATGCTCCCAAAGATATTTTAGGACATGGAGCTTTTGCAGTTGTTTTTAAAGGACGCAGTAAAAAAGTAAGTACATACATTTTCATTTGATTGGAATTTACTTCAGATATATACAGGTATCTATGCCAGGGGCTCACACCCCTTTGTAACAGTAGCCTATGCTACTGCATGGTTGATATTAAATAACATTATTAAAATGTTGGAGTTTACACCCCATTTTCAAATAGTGTCTCCAATGGGTTAGGTTTTCACTGTCTTTATTACCTGCTCACAATTAGTTGTCTAAGGTTCTTTTATTTCTATCCTATTGAGGTTTTGAGGCTAGTAAGATCTATTGTCTCCTCTCACTGTAGATGTAGTAGTCTCATCGTAGATGTAGGCAAAAGATTGCATTTGGTCTCCAACTATTGGGTGCCCTCATCTTATATTCTATTTGTTGATTTATTAGCAACATTAACCCTATAACTGACATTCCTATTCAGACGATTCGACTAATTATATGCCAGGAGATAGGCCTCTAATATGCTCTAATTCGATTGTAATTATAATGAAGGACCTATTACATAATTAATACTTTAACTGCACATAACCAACTCACGATGTATATGCTCTCTAACATACGTTGGACAAATTTGCTAGACAAAAAATTTGATATTCAGAACCAGATTTAAATACTGATTTTAACTATTGTCCAGATATACATACTATCTATCCATTGTTCCACAGGTCTTATCTATTTTTTTCTCATACATTGGATGGTGTTATATTTTTTATGTGCATACAGGACTATTTTATATTTTATATGTTAGACAACAAAATGTTTTAAAAAATTATCTTTTAGGACGCTGATCTATTGACTACAAAATATTTTTCTGTGACTTGGAGTCCTAAGTTGAAACTGAATTTGGAGCATGATATTGTGAACCATTCATTTTGTCTTTAGTTGCTTGAGTTGTAAGGATAATGAACCGTATTGCAGATTAGTTTAAACCATGCTCTTGTGGAGAGCGATTCATAACTACTGGGGAAAATTAGAAGAATTCGATCAAATTTGTTGAATTTATTCAATGCAAATTGAAATTATATTCGTATGTTACAAGCTGTAATCTAAGATTTTAACGAAGCTTAAGTACTTATAATGTAATCTTAGTGAGGTTGTCATGTTGAACTATTCGCTGGATATTAGAATATATTCGGAATGTCCTGGGGAGTGTCCATTGTAGGGTCAGTTTTACTAAGAAAATGATAACAATGCTGGTTGAAAACGAATAGTTTTTACCTATAGCCGCCCCTTTTTATCGTTGATTGATACGAGACCGATACGAATCGACTTGGGGTCGAAAAAGAAACACTCTTTATGCCTTCTTTATATCGAGCGGAAACTTGGCACAGACTTACAATTTCGAACAGGTCAGAATCCTATTAATGGGTATCATATTCGAACAGGACTTTGCCCCCAAATACAGCAAAAAATGTTCACATTTAATCTTGGATTAAAAACGGCGGGAAATATCGCATCCATCGAAGTATCATTTAATGAGCGAACTTGTGGAAATAGTGAAGCTTCTGCAAGCGCCTGAACCTTCAAAAAGGATAAAAATATTGGACCAATTCTAATAACCTTTCCAATAGTCCATTTCGGACACCGTCTTTTACCAATTAGAACTCAACAGAAATTTCTAACCGCTAAAGAGATAGGAGCACAAATGGCAAATTTTGGTGAGGGCGCAAAGACTAAAACGCCTTATATCTCAGAAATGATTAGAAATAGCGAATCAGTTGTTAGAATCTTTTCGTAGATAGTCCGTATTGAGATCTTTAGTTTTCTGATAAGCTTTATAAGAAACTCTTAACGCTTAAGAGATTGAAATTCCGTCTAAATTGAAAACGCGTTAAATATCAAAAAATGCAAAAATTATGGAGTCAGTATCACCTTCGCGATAGCGATAGATAAATTTTATTATTTAAGATCCAACAGAAATTTCTAAGCTCGTGAAAGACGAATCATAAACAAGAGAAAAGTGTTTATCCATTTGCAGTGGAATGACGTCAATTTGTGAGAGAAGCTGTTTGAAGCTGAATGTTTATTTCCGGTGTGTGATAGAAGTCATATAGCAACTATTTAATTAAGTACAGTTCCAAAATTAAAATCAAGTCCTGGGTTCTTCAGTCATTTATTTATTGTTCGTTCATCATTTAAATAAATGACTGAAGAACCCAGGACTTGATTTTAATTTTGGAATTGAAACACAGTCAGGAAAGTACGTACAATTAAGTACAGTGTGTAATATTTACATATTTTCTTGTATTCTTTATATAAAAAATAAGATGTTATTTAATTTCTGGGAAATATTGATAACTATAATTATGACAGTGTAACACGTATCGAGTACTTACCCCAAGCTTTCCTCTTAGGTCATGCTCTCAACTTGGAGGAAAAACCAACAAGTAATTTTGCAAAGATTAATCAAAAAATTATGTTTACAGTTTTTAATACTCGCACTTGAACATAATTGAGGTTCCGTCGTTATCAATGGCTTTGTTTCATTACTTAAGAAAATCACTTTAGAGATGCTGAGTTTAAGTAGTTTATTAATGTAGTGGACAAGGCAATTAAAAATGCAACTTTTATCACCTTCCGAGGGACCATTTTTCGGACTTTACTAGAAGAAATATTGAAATACACATTTGGACAGCCATAAACATTTTTCACAAATTCTTTTGAGCATACTGGAAAGTCCAGTTGGTAAAAATCTGTGCGCTATAAGTGAATCATCAACATCAATTGTCTGTTAATGTTGTACTCGGAATTGTTGCATACTGCAGTATTTTACCAAGGAAACTGGATAACTTTTGCAACTCTGTTGTGTAATATGTTCTGCTACATGTAGGATGCTTTGCTTTTTTAAGCGATGGGGACGGTAGAGCTGTAAGACTATGGCTTTTACATTCACCTGATATAAATGCGTTAGATTTACCTTCGAAGTCGCCCAAAAACCGTTTTTTTACTCTAAACCAATTGAAAATATAGCGCAATGAGGAAACCGTTTGTTGCGAAACAATTGGAATCACTCCAAGCATTTTTTAACGTCGTTGCCAGTTAATACGTAGTAGAACATATGTTTTACAGGTTACAGGGTAATTCAAATGTCCCGCATAAAATGCATACCTTTTTTATGAACGATTTTTTTTAAATAACACTTAAGAACCTTTTAAATTCCCTGCTAACCCAATTTTTTGCAATTGCAACCTTTGTCAATGCGGGCCAATGCAAAGGTCTGGTTTTAAATAAAATTCTAAATAGAAATTATCACTTACCCAACTTGATCTAAGGTGGTAAATGTTCAAAATTTATGTGCGAAATATATTATATCTACTGTACTACGAATATTATTCGAAACTTTTTAAAATATTGCAAATCTCCAAAGGCGTTCATATCTTTCAATTGTAGTGTTGCTTTCGGACGCGAACGGGGAGACGAAAAAACGCAAGACTTTATAATCAAGATTATATGGATAAAGAAAAGTTACAAGTCACTAAGTTCAGAAACATGATTAGGTGACATCTAAAACTCCTTTAATAAAACTCTGCATCTCTGAAGTGAAATTTATATAGACTTTTTTATATCTTAAGCCAATGAATCTACTTATGCATTCTGCAATATTTATTAATCATCCCGCATAATTGCGTTTGTTTTATTTTAATTGTTCTTGTTGATTCAATTTTAATTAGGCGAAAATTTGCTATTTTCTTTATAATATTAAATTAGTTCAGTTTTGAAACTTATATTACTAATTAAGTCCCTACCTGTTATTCGAAATTATACTTTCATCGTTCAATTTTAAATTATTCTTTAAACGTGACTATGACTGATAGAAATAAAGCGGAAACAAAATAGAGTAATATGAAAAACCTCATACTTTTTGGGTAACCTATACCTAATATATTATTGAAACATTCTCAACATAAGAATCTACCTTTAGTACATACAAATACCTGAGTGTTATATTTTGAACGCAGTTTAATGGTGATTCCTCTATGAAACGTACTTTACAGTTTTTACAGCATCTTACAAGAAATGTATCTTTTATTTCAGGATACGAATTTTACGGTGGCTATTAAAAGCATAGCAAAGAAGAATTTGATCAAATCGCAGAATCTACTTGGAAAGGAAATCAAAATATTGAAGGTATAGATCATGGCATTAGGTATTCAAGTCCCTACTGATGGGTTTTGTTGTTTTAGGAGCTGACTGAACTACACCATGAACACGTTGTAGCTCTACTTGACTGCAAAGAAACAACGAATCATGTATTTTTGGTTATGGAGGTAAGTGTTCAATGTTGCTTAAAATGTCCAAGATGGGCATTATAGACCTTTTTCAATAGTGGCTTAATAATGAAAAAAGTATAGAAGCATTGCGAAAGCTTTTTGGGTTTTGTTGCACGTAAGGCAACGTTTTGAAATACTGATTGCCGTTTTGTTTTCTTTTAAAGCAGCTTTTGCAATATTAGTTTAATGGTATTTGGAAACAATCTAAATCTTTCATTCTCATCGGCGCATTTTAAAACATTTCTCCACTTCAGATTTTGTCGAATCAGGAAAAACAAAAGGTTCGTCCGATAAAAAAAATTAAATAAATGATCGATAATGCAATTTGCCACCATTTTTCCAAATTGTTGACTAAATTCTTCATACGCAAGTTAATTAACGCTCATTAACTTCGAAATAAAAATTACCTATTGGATATATTGATCCAAAAGATACCTAGATTGTTTAGATACAAACTGGACATTCTTCTTGAAAATCGTTAGTCTCAATCAAATCGCAATCTGACAATAACTCTTCGGTTGAAACAGGTATTTGTAAATCAACCCCTCAGAGGTTTTCGGATAATTGACCTCCAGCCTGTTTATCTGCCAAACTGTATTTTGCATGAGAAACATATTGATGTTTTAGTTAAATATATTTTTTTTGTGGACATTTATCTTGCAAACTATAGGTCAACTTATCAATATTGATATAATGCTATGCAAGTTTTGACAATTAATTAAATTGTATACAATTTTTATAAGCTGGAATCGTGCCAAAATTAATGCATCAACATGTGTCGCTACTGCTAAAAATTATTTTATTCTTTTAACCTTTGATTGAAATATTCATTGACTGCAGAGTGTTGCATTGATATAAATGTCTAGTAAGCTGAACGAAAACTCAGTAAATTATCACCATCATCTCAAAGTTGCTGAACTTATTGAATGTTGATTAGTTTTTTTTTAGATTTTTTAGATTCGTTGAATTTAATATAATTTTAATTGGAGTTATATCTAAGATTGAAGGGTTTTGGTTACTAAAATTCAATTGCAATTTATTTTTAGATACGTTTTGAATCATCCAATAACCATCCACAATATTCTGTCTCATGTTTGTTATCTGATTGTTTTATTATCAAAATCGTCAAAGTATTTGAGTCATAATCGTCATATCTATATTTAATAAAATGCCAATTCGATGTTTTAGGAATTTGGGTAAATTTGAGAGTTTTGGAAAATTACATATAAAATTGTTATGAAAGGCAGAGCTTGTTTGAGTGGCAACTAAAAAATGGCCAATGCAATCCATTCATCCAATTCAACACTTTCAAACACATTTTGACGTGATAATTGCAATAAACACAACACCTCATTGATATAAAATTTTACTAACGTTTTACTATGAAAGTGGTATATTTTTTGAATGCAACAACGCATTTGAATCCAGTAAAATTATCACTACATATCTAAAAAGTACATAACATACTATATGAGCTTATATATGTCGCGGTAGACGTATGTAAAATATATTAATTATTGGCAAATTATAAGTAAGTTACGACTTATTTGCATTTCTAAATTGCAACAGGCGTCATTTAAGGTGGTGAAAATAAATAATAAATAAGTTATAATTGAGTAATGGCGCAGTTCTGAATCTTATTGATAGTTAACAAATTATCAGTTTTTTTAACAATTAAAATATTCAAACATACAATGTATCCAGTTTGTTCCCACTTAGTTCACTGATTCTAAACCATAAACGAAAATATTATCACAAAGCGCACTGACGCTGGCAATAAAAAGCTATCGTTTCTTTATGCTGCATCATTCTTCTTGTCTGAATATTCTTTTACAATGAGGGTATTGTTAGACTTAATCAAGGGCTTCATTTCAGTTCCTTTTTCTATGTCTTCAGAATTCTTGTCAGCCATTCTGATGCCATTGCCTACTTCAGCTTGTTCTGAAATTTTCTCTTTGCGCTTCTTGATAAAATGGTGCGTAAGCGCTGCTGCACCAATGATTATAACAATAACAAAAAGAACTATGAGGATAGTGGCATCTTTGCCTGCTTTGGAAACATTGGTAGTACTTTCACCGGTGTTTGGCTGGGGCTCATTTTCAGTTGCTAGACCTGCAAAAACGAAATTAATTTTTTAGTCTTAGTCTGAGTTAAAATGGGACGAAATTTGTTTACTTACTTTTAGAATTTGCATTAACAGGAGAGTTAGACAAGAGCTTGTCAGTATCGCTGCCCTCAACAGATGATCCCGGTGAAGTATGAGGATTCTTTAGTAAAATTGCGTTCCCCGATTGGTGGTCATCTACAACTTCCGCTTCTTTGGGTTTCTGAGTTGCCTCCACAGCATCTGTTAAAAATTAAGAGTCGTTCTTTCAATATTCACTTGGTACGGCTGCAAAATGTTGTACCTTCTGAAGAACTACTTGTAGATTTATCTGAGCTTGAAGCCGGGGTTTCGGTTGATATATTGTGGATTAGTGGAGGTGGATTCAAGTCACTGTCGTCATCTGAGCTTGGTTTACTTGCAACATCTTCTTCTTTCTTATCGGAGTCCTGAGGTGGAGAATCAGGAGCCTGAGGTGGAGCACCGTCTGAAGCTGAATCTCCTACGATTTGTTCGTCATCAAACTCGTTTGCATATGATCCACAAATTTGATTATACCAAAGTTTACACAAGATAATACAATCACTGATTTACTTACCATTCTCTTCTACACCTGCTGGTTCTCCTTCAGAGGGCTTGACCGCATCTTCGGCAATTTCTTTACCTTCCACAATAGGCTGCTCTTCTTCAACCACGGGATTTTCCTCAGCAGCCGACTCATTTACATCTACACTGTCTCGATTTTCCGTTAGAGGTACTAATGCGATCACTGCAGCCTCGCCACCAAGTTCTTCATTACCAGCGGAAGAGTTTGTATCTATACCGTTTTCGTTTTCTTTTAGCGCTACTCCTTCCTCTGCAGGCGGCTCTTCGCCAGGGCTTTCATCACCAGTGTCATCATTTGTATCTACGCTTTCCTGGTTTTCGTTTAGCAATTCTTGCTCTTGTTCAGATAATTCATCGCCATTTTCCCCTGATGGTACGTGCTCTTCGGTTTCGTTCCCATAGTAAACCGGCTCTACTAAACTAGGTTCTTTCAGGATTTCATGTTCTTCAACATTTGATTCTGCATTATTTCCTTCGGATTGTTCATCGTCTGATGCAACATCTTGCGCGTTTTCATCAATTTCTATAGCCCCTGAAATATTTAACGCTGCTCCAAATTCTGCGTCGACCGACGGCTCTTCTTTATCTAACGCGGTTTCGTCGACTGATCCAATATCCTTTTCATCATCGTCAATGTTTACAGCTTCTGAAGCATTTGCAGCAGATTTAGGCTCCTCAACGGTTTGCTGTTCGTCTAGATCTAACTCAGGCCCATCTTGATCAACTGGGACAACGGCATCAACCGTTTCCTCCTCTTCTGCTGGTGCAGGGATTAAGTCTGATGCAACATCATCATCTTGTATAGGTTCTGAAGCATCTGCAACTGGTTCAGGTTCGTCAGCGGGTTGTTGATTTTCTTGACCTACCACAGGTTGATCTTGATCAATTGGACCAACTGCATCAACATCTCCCGCTGGTTCAGATTCTTTGTCTGAAGCATCTGCAACCGGTTGAGGTTCTTCAACGGGCTGCTGCTCTTCTGGTTCTACCACAGGTGGATCTTGATCGATTGGGACAACTACATCAACATCTCCCGCTGGCACAGATTCTTCGTCTGGTGCAACGTTTTTTTCTTCATCACCTTTTCCAGATTCTGATACATCTGGAACTGGTACCAGTTCTTCAGCAGCCTGCTGCTTTTGTTCTAATACTGGCTCAGTCTGATTAAGCGAACCAGATGCTACAGCCTCATCTACAGGCGCAGATTTTTCATCGGTTGCAGAATCGTCAGCCGATTGCACCGCAGGTTCCTCAACTGCAACTACTTCATCTTGTGCATGCTGGGCAGGTTCGATGGGAGCTTCTTCAATTTGTTCGTTCGCTCCTTTAGGAGAATCGTCAGCGATTTGGTCTTTGGCGGTGTCAAAAGGGGTTTCTTCTGGCAGAGAAGAGTTGGTATGGAAAACTGGCTCATTTCCACTCAGTTCTGATTCAGCGGCTACCAGAGGATCGCTATTCAAGTGTACCTCTTTGGTCTCATTGGCAGCGCCTTCTAAAGGAACATCGTCAGCATCCCTCTTCAAAATCACATGAGCATTGTCATCTAGTAAAAACGGATTATCTTCCCAATTTGCATCGTATTGATTCCAAACAGCGTCATTCTGTAAAATATTGCTGTTTGAATATATGTGTGGAGTAAGGGAAGTTTTTCTTCGAACTGAACTTGGCAAATTGTTTGTTTTATGGTTTTGCTGAAATGTGTATGACTTGATCAAGGATCTAAGGAGTGTCGACGGACTCATGACTTTCCTAAACGTGTATCAGCTATAAAATATGTGTTTATGTATGCCCGAAAGTGCTCACGTGCCCTACCAACCCGATATCAAACCGCCAATGAAATATAACTAGTAAATATTTATTAAAGATCCTGCGTGACTTTGAGCTAAAAATAAATTGAATTGAATATCAGACTAACAAATATTTGCATTGCAAACTTCTCGATATTGTCATACGTGTATTTTTGTGTGCTTTTCTGATATGTTTATCATTTACCTATATGTAACTATCTATCTTTAGTAATCCATCTGCAAATAGACGATAATATTTTGTTGATGCCGTTCAATGGTATTTTTTGAGGAAGTGTGAACACTGTTGAACTTTTATGAATGAATGAAGCATAGAGATTGCTCCAGTGGCGAATTGGGCCATTCATACAATCTAATTGCTTGAGCACTGAACTTCTGGATTTGTATAGGAAATAAATATAATTGCAGCTCAATATTATGTAAATGTTGACGAGAAAGTCTACTGGAAGGTGTCTAGCAATTTATCATCAAACATTTTTCGAGAAATTGACATTTAATATTTTTTCTTCCTCAATTGTTTTAACTTTATCAACACGTATGAATGTGAAGAACTGAGTTAATTCTTTTTAGTTTGCTAATAATTTGCAAGGTTGATTGCCCAAAGCTTTTCTGATATTAATGATATTAACATTTTTGGAATTTTTGCAAATTTTCTAATATTTCTGTATATTTTTATGTCAAATCTGCTTATTTACTGAATCCGGCAGCCATAAATTAAATGTTCAAAATTAATTTTGTTCATTTGCTATTGTGACATCCAGTTGATTGATTAGAGATTAATTGATTGACTGATTTTTTAGATGCATACAAGCAAACCAAGTTGCTATAAAAATGCATATACGTTGGTTTGAAGCAAATAATATAAGCGTAATGGATTAGAGTTTTTGTGCCAAAAAAGTGTTCTTTTATGTATATTTTTATTTGCGTAGTTTTGCATAAACTCCAGCACTGCTAATGAGGAATATTGAGTCAGGTGTTGTGCATATTCAAATTCATGTTTCTCGTTTATCACCGCAATATGTTCAGTTTTCAAGTAGTTTTAAGTATTATAGGAGAAAATGTTATAAATACTTACATTTTCATCATTTATCACATATTGATTGCTTATCGCCAACCTGTAAAATATAGGAAAAAAACATTTAACATAGATTTTCCAGATATCTATATCGAAACAGTAATTATGGTTCATGTATTCATTCAGTTTCCACGATAAGAAAATACTGAAACTCGCATGTTTCAAATCCATTTACCTAATAACGTAATTGGCAGACATGTTATTCATTAGAGAGTATTTTGTCGTTATTCTTTAATTTTTTTATTTGGAGGAAATTGAGAAATTTTGGAATGCTAATAAATAAACACAAATACAAAAACAAGCATTATTTGTAAAATAGAATAGTAGGGAGACGAATATGAAGCATTTAACTGCATGGGTTTTGCTAATTAATATATTTTTATTTTGTGCAACTAATTATCCTTAGCCATGCCCTTGTGAATGTAGAACTGCGAAATTGCATTTAAAATAGTCACATGGCTTTATAGAATTTACTATATGATATCATTTCCGCTTTATTAATGTTTATTAATGATGGCGAACAGAAAATATCCAAGCTCATTGAGTTGAGTTTTATCAAAGCCATTGTATACATAGGTGCAACAATTTAAGATTAGCTCATTATATTTTTACCTTTTCTGGCCTCCGCCGAAATATTATTTAGTTGTGTATATATATATTGTGTATATATATATCGAATGATTTCAGAGTAATTTTACAATGCACTAATTGTCGTTAACATGAATGACGAATGGGTCATTGATAGACATTATCTTATTGATACGTATGGATAAATATTTCATTACCAATCATCGATTACATAAACGTTTTTGCATGCCATGAGCTGAAATATCGTATCAATTTTCTACTTTTTAGATAGCAGGTAATTTTTTCATGACTCAAGCAGCATTGGACAGTTTGTTCGATGAAAATAGACGAATTATCCAAGATACTTGGTTTGAAAGTTCAATCACATCTATACAAAATACCTATTAATAAACGTTTGATGAGACCCGGAAAATTCATACAAATTGAATATCTATGTAGAAAACTTTTTTACACCCTTCTGAAAACGTTATCAATTTTGTCGTGGGATTAGAATAATTACAAAATTAGAAAGCACAGTAAAGCATGTTCAAAAATATAGACTACTGTTTCTGATAATGCCAATTATATCTAAATTATTTATGAGTATTTGCTTCGATAGTCTCGTATATATTAAAAGCTTAAAATTTGTGAAAAAGCCACCGGTAATGTTAGTTCCACCTGACTTAATATCACATGTCTTTTCTTCAATTAATTCCCAGTCTTTTTATGATACCGACCTTCGATATCATTATTGTTTTCAGATAAGTCAATTGATAAAATTACTTATTACGAGTTATCAACGTATCTTTTAATATAAATCATGATGACGTCTATTGACGAAAGTTCAAGTCATTCTTCTACCCTTAATATATTTTACTCATTTATAGTGGATGATTCATTTTGACTCATTCATTTTCCTCAAACGATTGCAAATTTGAAAGCAAATTTTTTGGGTCCAGTAAACAGATTAGTTTTCGATTTGAAATTGATTACGAATTATCCAAAATTACATTGTAAACACTACAATCGTAGGTATTATGAATGAATTATTTTTTTACGAAATTCGAATATTGCCGGAACAAATTGAAAATCTGTTAATAAACAAAGTTATTTGCAGGCATTACAAATGGGTGAATATTTATTAGAAAAATTAAAAAATTACTTCTGAAACGTTTAAATTGTGTGTTTGTATTAACATCGTATGTAATCGACGTAAAAGATGTTGAACATGGCAACATTTACAATTTTAAAAACACAATAATATGAATGTTTTTTTTTTCAATTCTTAAAGTTTTGTATGTAATATTTGATATTGTGTATAACCCATAATTGATTGTAAATAATATTCCAGCTTGAAAATTGACTTTGGGTTTGGCATTTGGCTCAGGCATTCACAGAACTAAAAATAGGACATTTTTCATGATTGAAAATAAATTTTTGCTTTTCCGATCTCAACTGTTCAACATCCAAATTATTCATAAGTAAAATTTAACAATTTCCTTAAATATATACTAGAATTGCAAGATAAATCATTGATTGCGCGTGCTGCCAGTCGTTTTAAGGTCGTCGAAAAACAATTCAAGAATGATTAATTTTTGAACACGTTAGAATCGACCGTAAAAGCATATATTCGTTATTAATTTAAAATATTGTTTTTAACATCAATAATTTTAATTTTAAGATTTTGCACTTTTTGAGTCTAAAAATGAGTTGCAAAATTTAAAACATCCAAAAACGTTCTTTTCGGGATGTATATACTCGTATCTACAAGTGTGTAATTTCAAGTGACTTGACAATAATGTGTATTTAGTCGATATCATATTGGTCACGCTGATTTTCTTCTTCAACAATATATGTAATAAAGAGGGTTTTTCAATAAGCCTTGTTATCTATCATTATCGCCATAGGAACTAAATAATTGTGCGTTTTAAAGTGTAGTATGCACTTCAATAAATGTCTCATTTTATTAGTCCGGTTCATAAAAAGTTATTTCGTGCATGTCAATTTATAAAAAAATAATTATGAAAAATTTTGCAACATTAGGTAATTAATTTAATTGAAAAGATGGGTGTACATAGTAGGTTTTTTCTTTTAGTTAATTTTACTTATTGTTTTTATGGCGCGCTTTTCATATATTTTCCTGTTCTAGAGACGAAAGTTAATCACAGCTAAAAGGGGGTTTTTCGCTATTTATACTTATATATCGTTTGATTATGCAAGTATATTTTGATATAACATTGAGCAATTGTTCAAGGCACAGGCGGATTTGTGCACGGCTTTAGATAAGATAATGGTGCTAAAGTCGCGAAGTTTTTCTTTTAACATCGTAATGGAAATTAAAACATTATATAATACTTACGAAAAACTTAACAGTAGAAATCCAATGGTATAGTGTAAGCCAATTAAGCGAATCATCTTTCAGTAGTCCAGATAGAAACTAAACACTGTGGAACCGGAATAAATTCGACATGCAGAAACCAAACAAGGCGTTATTCGTTCGCTTATGATCAACTAGTTGAAACAATACAATTTTTATTACTTTTGTATTCAACGAGAAATGCAAGAAGTGCAAAATTCTTCACGTGACACCACAAGACAACTTCCTACGAATTAAAAGGTAGAAAATGGTCGTGCTGGGATCGGTGGGAGAATTATTATGACAGAAAACATTAACGCTTTTAGATAAGATAAGATAGTAGCTCTGGGTACCTGGACATTGAGCGTTTTCGAATTTTAGCTGATCTGAGCGGTATCACATATGCAGCTTTTCTGTTACCATCACAATTCACTGATTCCAATCGTTATTTCCGATAAGTATAGCCTCTAATAGTGAAAAGTTCCAAGATTTTTAAAAATAGATATATGCATACTTAATGTTCGCGCAATGCTGCCAGAACACAATTTTACGAATATCAGATACTTAAAAAACTCCTGCAATTGCAACCACTATTTTTATTTCTCTAACGTGGCACGAGTTTGCACATTTAAATCAGTCGTTAGTCTCTTTTTCTCGAGTAGGCACATTTAAATCAGTCTTTTCCATGACTTTCCAAGAATATTCTAAACTTGAGAGTTTAAATGCAAAAATTTGCGAAAATGAATAAAATACAAAAAGTTTGTTTTAGAACTTGTTATCGAATATACAAAAATGTTTTTACTAGTTCTATACTATCAGGTATAATCAAGTGAAATTCAACTATTTCTGTGGTACCCCTCTCTGTAAGATTTACAATGTTTTCCAAGTCTTGATTCTAAAGTACAGAATGCAAATATAATTAGTGACAACTGGGTTTTTAACAGCACATGGTTCATATCGATTTTGCGAACTGATCAAACATCTAATTTTGGCGAATTTATCGCCTGTTAATTTCCTTCTGATAAGCTTCCACGCTTAATAAAGGTTTAGGAAATATGATTAAGTCTATAATTATTTTTTACATTTTGGAATGTACTGAATTTGGCTAGCCAGGGGTTTCTTGGAACGTTAAAAGTTTATTTTAAAGCCTCTACGATACAGCTTAGGAAATTTAAAAAAATTTCCATTTAGTTTCTTATCTGATACCTATTTCAGTCATAGTGAGTATGTTTTTGGTTTTTAAGTTATTATCTTTCCGCCTATTTAATCGTTTTTCACAATGCATTATATGATTAGCAACCATCAAATACAGTTCATTAATATTGTTAAATATTTGTTTTATGAATTCGTTTAAGATTATACGAATGACGATTGAACGTTAATGAACAATCTCTAATAAATGTAACTGATAATATAATTTTAGGTACAATGCAAACATTTCAATTATTGTCATGTTTCAAAAAATAACGACTAAGCCAGAAAAAAATCGCTTCACACGAAACCCGTTCTAACTCTTCTTCTAATGATTCTGACATTAGATGTCGAACTGAGCAGATGTTTTAGTAGAGAAATAACATCTGAATTAGAAGTTAGCGAATCTTTTCTAACGAATGGGACGATAAACGTCGAAATTTACGCAAAAGGGTGTCTCCAAAAAAGATTGTTGCCATTCATGAAACAACATTTCTCTTTCCATCTTTTGGCCAGACTTAGTTTCCTGTCGCTACAGTAAGAGAGCTGTAGAATGGTGCCAAATGGAGAAAGTCGTTTTAATGCCTAGCCAATCGAACGGCATTGAGCCTTAGTAAAAAGATCTTTGAAATAAACATCATACAAGTCGATGATGGAAAGAATTGTTGGGGCTAGAAACTCATTTTCGAGCCGTTATGGTCCACACGAAAACGCGCCAATTGTATTTAATTTTTTCTAGTGTGCCGTAAAGCGTTAAATACCTAACATTTAATGTCAAAATCTTTGAATTGTCATTTAATATTTATTATGGATATTCAGTTATATTATTTAAGTATTTATTTATATGTTTATTATTCTTTTAAACGGACATTACTCTATATCGGGCATCTTACAGTCCCGAATGTCCAAACACAAATTTCACTGTAGTTAAATCTCAACTGTTTGTATTCTTTTCAATTTTTATTTTATTGTAAGTAATTTGTGAATTATCAAAATAATTCACATTCTACTGAATTTTCAATTTGCTGTGCTTTTTATTTAAAAGGTGGCGAAGCATTCATGACTCCCCGTCCTGCTTGATTCCTCTTTAAAAACTTGCGCTATGTTCAATAAATTGATCCATAATTTCGCTTATTTTTTTTACAATTAGAGTTATACATAATGTAATGTTCTAATGTAAAAAAAAAATAATTAGAACTTTGACCATCAATAGCAGAAGAGTCAGACATTTTTTGTTAATAAAAATTAGGTCAGATCGTCTTCTTTTGTTCCATAGAATATCGCAGTACCCTTTTGATCATGACCCTGTATCCTGTATTTTGACCCTGTATCTTAAAATTTTAATGGTTTTCAAAACCGAAAAGGCGATGCAAATATAATTTTTTTTGTTATGTTCACTACCTAAACCTTGCATACTCTAATGACATTTATTACGATAAATCAAAGAAAATATTCTTGTCAATTTTATGGCCGCTTTGAACGATAACTCCCACTTGTTTGATACTTTTATAATATTTAACTTTTTTTTCAGTATTGCAATGGTGGTGATTTGGCAGACTATCTAAGTGGTAAGCTGTTATAACAGATTTATTTTTGCTATTATTATAATCATCCGTATATTAATTCCCGTAATAATTCAACGTGTTGTATTTTAGCCAAGGGCAGCTTAAGTGAAGATACAATAAGACTATTCTTGAACCAATTAGGTAGGTGTGAATTTTACTGCCAATAAATTTGAAATTTATTTTATTTGTTTTGATTAAACATTTTAGAAGCTAAAATAATTATTGCTTGTTTAACATTTAATAAATGTATTGGTTTATAGCTGGAGCGATGCAAGCTCTTCATGCTAAAGGCATCGTGCACAGGGACTTGAAACCGCAGAATATTCTTCTATCGCACACTGGAACCAAACTTCATCCACAACCATCAGAAATCAAACTAAAAATAGGTAAGAAGTTGCTGAATGTTTTCGTCCTTTATAAACATTTTTATAAAAGCGGTAATTTTCTTGGTGAGTAATGAAAAGTAAACTTTATTATTTCATCCATTTTCATCATCTTTATTCAACAGTTTTTTTTTATTTTCAGCTGACTTTGGATTTGCACGATTTCTTCAGGATGGTGTCATGGCAGCAACTTTATGCGGTAGCCCTATGTATATGGTGGGTGTTTACATAACAAAATTGTTTCTACTGAATGTTCGAGTATTTTCTCAGTTATTAATGAAAAACTTTCCAGGCCCCAGAAGTGATAATGTCTCTACAGTATGATGCCAAGGCAGATTTGTGGAGTTTGGGAACAATCGTGTTTCAGTGCCTCACTGGTAAAGCTCCATTCCAAGCTAGAACGCCTCAGGAGTTGCGGAGTATTTACGAAAAGAACTTAAATTTATCACCAACGTAAGTTAGATTAAATTGCATTGGTCAAACTTTAGCAAATATTCATATTTGTTTAGGTTTCCACCAAGTACCTCGCCGGAACTAGTTGAACTTCTTATGGGGCTACTGAAAAGAAATCCGAAGGAGCGCATGAACTTTGAATTGTTTTTTAATCACAAATTTTTGCAACGAGATGTACCCGCTAGTCCACCAATTCAAGCAGGTAAAGGAAATAGTTTTTTTATGAAACTGTAGTGGAAAGCTCACCATGGAACGTTTACCAGTGAAAATGGATTGTAAACTAATCTTTTGTGTTTATTTTCAGATACTATCTACGGTTCTCCATTAGGTAGAATGCTGTTGAAACAACCATCCACCCCAGTTAGAATTGCAACACCTCCTAGATCACAACCAGGTTTGTAGCGTATTTGTGGTGTTCAGGTGTAAAGCTTTGCTGCAAAATGCTGTCATTTCATTCGATTTGTTTGTTCAATCATAGCATGGCATTTGGTAAAGGGCGTCATTCCACTGGCATTTTTCCATCGGAAATTCACATTGTTTCATTGTTAGCGACTTTCCTTTTTTGTGCGAGAAAACCAGAAGCTCAAAGTACTCAAACTCTTCGGAATTGCTTTAAATCTGATTTCAATATTGAGATGGCTTGGCAAATATCAAAGCAACACCGCTGATATAGTATCAGCAGGTTTATTTCTTTAATGGCAAACAAATATCCTTTAATGATTCTATGTTGTTTTTGAGTTTTAGGATATTTATAATGGCACATAGCTTCTTTAATGTTCACCCACTAAACAAAACCTCTCGCTTCTACTAATCCCTTCTTGTAGAATCTCCGCGTTCTGCAAGGACAGCACTCAGCTCGAGTCCTGAAGAGGATTATGTTATAGTGTCTCAAACCCTTCATTCAACTGGATCCAACCCCTCCATTGATATGAGCCTGGAAACAGAGAAAGAGAAACCTACCAAGTGAGTATAGTGAAAAGCGGCTTTCGAGTCAGCAGTACAGTTCACAAGTAAAACGTTGTCAATAAGATATTTAGAACAAAATTAACTGGAAAGGATGCATGGTCTAACGTCTAAAATACGCATTTAAATTATCGTTTTAATTTACAGATATGTAAAAGAGCTTTACACTAATATGTTAAAAACATTTCGGGCCTGCTAAAAGGGCAAAGTCCTAATTTTTTTCTACTTGAAAATATATTTATTTCGCATATTTTTTCACTCGTTATTAAGATACGATTTTTTTTTATTTGGGAGCTACTTAAAAATTAAATACTTCATGCATTGCCATTTTGCAGACGTCACATTCTTTCGATCCAACTTCAGACTGGTAGTTTGCTGCGTTATAAAAATGTCCGACTTTCAGCCGAACGCTCTTCGAAACTACGACTTCGACGACAAGATATATATTTAATCTTTATTTCCTACAGAAAAAGGCCATCGACCGAATCGGTCTTTCTGCCCTTGTTTAGTACATATGTGTCTTAGCCTAGCTTATTCTAAAAATGATTCCTATTCCTAACACTCGTATAAATTAATCAGCTATAAAAAAAGTAAGAAAATAAAAATTCTTGGCTTACAAAACAAACATATCTTAGTCCTTAGTTCAGTTGCGTTTGTAGGTGTTCTAGTAAAGTATCTGTTGTTCGACGACAATTTGTTCCGATCCGATTTTGATCGGAGGTGCCATAATCGTAAATTTGGGCATTTTTTGGGACCGTAAGTAAAAACTCGAGATCATATATTAAAATGAAGCGTTCGAGCCGTACACATCTGAGGATTCAAGTCATTGGTGCTTGCGAAGCGTCAAGAAGAAATTATTTTGCACGGCGGCACCCAAAAATTCACCAGTTTCAAGCAATAGTCGGGACACTAATCTTGATAACGGCCACAAAGTATTTTTTACGAGAACCTTTTTTACCCATTTTTTTGCTTTAGTATTATTGAAATGTAAATGGGTTTTGCGGATAAACTTTGATTTTTACAAATCATCATTTTTTGGATAAGTATAGGCCTACCGTACATTATACAGGGCGCCCCAATTACTAGACTCTACCCACAGTTGCTTTTTTTAATGAAATTCTCTGCATATTATCGCACTATTAGTGTCTACTATTAAAATAAATGTGAGATTCTTGGAGGTTTATCCTGCCTAAAGCCTGCAATTTCTAAGATATTTCGTGTTTTGTATAAATGAGGATCTTTTTTAAAGGTTACGTTTTCAATATTTATTTCAAATTTTAAAATGAAATTCTACCGTGCTGCTACTAAAAGATGCAGTTTTGAGACAAATAACTAAAAATTAGACCTGCGGGATGTCTCAAAATTATGTTCAAACAATTGGACGCTTTGAACAGTAATAACTTGTTTAATTTATGCAACACCCCGTATTTTATACTGTAAACCGATGCAAAATGTATTTACTTATAGAATACAATTAAGGATTCCTATACCTAACTCTTCAGGTTTTCATAAAAATCCTATAGTTATGTATGGCACCATTTTAATTTTGGCAAACACAAAGCCAAACTGCAATGGAGTCAACGATTACTGCGGCAATATTTTTTAATAAGTTTAAAATGACCTTCTTATTTAACACATAACTGCACTTTTCTCAAAGTTTTCAGCAAGTTTTAACAACATGGCAGTGCTTATACTTTTGAAAGCTTTTATGGTGTTCGAGGTGTGTCATAGGCTACCCCTTTTAAAATATGCATGTCCATAAAAAAGATCCAGAGGAGTCTAATCTGGTGATCGCAGAAGATAGTTTTGACACCCGCTTCTTCAAATCTAGCGACATTGTAAATTAAGATTATAAAATGCTCTATCTTTGCGAGGAAAATGTGTAGGCACTCTACTCATTTGAAACCACATGGCTGCTCTAATGTCTATTAAAGTCTAGTAAAGTTAAGCTTACCGACTAAAACGTCTAAAAATGCTTCTTCATTCAAATGGTCTTATATGAAACAGAACCATTTTGTACCTCTGTGTTGATTCGGGATGATTATTAGCGGGAAGATGGGGTTTAGTTTTGAAATTCGGAAAAGGATGTTGAGAATTTAAGTTTTCATTAAATATTCTCATATTTACAAACCGTCAAATATCTCAGAAATTGTAAGCTTTAATCAAGAGAAACTTTAACAGAACTGATTGTAAATTGTACATACGAATGTCATAATAATCTGCATAATATTTAATTAGAAAACTGCGACTTAGGACTGAAACTACTAATTTCTGTATTTTTTTACGGGAATCTGTTGGTTTAGACAAAAAAGTGCGAGGATTTTTTCCTTTGTCTAGTTATCGAGATTTCTATTTAAAAGATCGAGCTTGGCCCACTACTCACATTAGAAAATGAACCCCCGATAGGAATAGATTCACATGATAATCCCCAAAAATCAAACAAGTTAGCAGAAATCGGCCATGTCGTGTAACCTGAATAACCATGCAGTTCTTTTTTTAGCATAAAGCTGCCGATGCGCATTTCGCCTGCAGAACCTTTGACTCGTGATTCGCGCCCTATGTTGAACAGTCCTTCGCGGCCTAACTTCTTACCCATCTCGGAGCCAATTCCAGTTCCGAGCCAACGAGCGGCCTTTGAACGAATGTACAGTCAACGAGCATCCAGCAAGGCCGGTGAAGAACCGCAACCTGCAGAGTCTCCAATTGAATCACCAGAGGTGAAAATTGTATTATTATTTTCCAAGAAACGTACTAAAGTTCCGACATGTAGAACAACGTCTCGGTACCTCGTTCGCAACCTATAACGATGAAGAGGATTCCAGATAGGCAGCTCAGTAATGACATTGATATTACTTCTTTATCACCACCTTCAGTAAGCGAATTGCGGTAATGAAAGTTTGCAATGCTAATCGAATTGTTTGCTTGTAGGTTCAATTTGTGATTGGTACGCCTCCGGGAGGCGGCAGGCGACGTTCCACTTCCAGTTCCCTGTGCGAAACACCACCTCCACCAAGCATATGGACGGTTAGTCCGACTAGTAACAAGAACATGCCTTTTAATTCCCCACGGAGGACGGGAACATCTCCTCCAGTATTAACTGGGCCACTTGCCAGAGTACCAATTTTGAGCAGCCCAAATATCAATGAAAATAACAATTTAGGTAAGATTCACGTGCACCGTGACTGATATGAAGTGGCTCCTAACTTATGCATTTCGTGAACTAATTCTAATGTGTCTACAAATTTGACTCATTTCAGTTCATTATATTATTTACAGAGGGTAGCTTTTATGTATGGAAACGATGGATTATTTCCTAAGCTAAGTAAGCTGGTACAAAATGATTAATACAAACATTGTTCTTTCCAGTCTATTTTCATAAAGAAAAATTTAGTATACAGGGCCAGCCAAAAAGCTACGGCAAAGCGAACTTTCTTTTTTTTAATGGAACACCCTGTATATTATAGCAGTCAATAATAATTCAATTCTTAACATTCGGCGCAAACATCGTGTGGCATGCTTGAATTTAATCGTTTCGAAGATCGAGTTGCTAAAATTATGTTTGCTACAATTCGCTAAATGATTAGATTTAGTATTTTAAATTTTGCACAATCCTGTTTCTACAAAATGTGAGCTCCTATTACCTCTTAAAATAATTGACGCCAATTTTGAATCACTCTGTATTTAAAGTAGAGCAGTTTTAACAACGTAAATGACCGTGTTTACTTGAAGGAGATCAAACAAAGATTTACACTTTCGGACGATCAGCAGAAAGCAAACACCACCGTATTTGGTAAGGGCCGTGGTGACTGACGATGGACGCTCTCCGCTCGTATTTTCCGATAGTAGAGACAAAGTTAATGCTACAATCAATCGGGAAAAGGTTTTAGAAGGTGCATTGAAGCCCTGAGCAAATAAAATTTTCAGTCTGAAGCGCTGGAGAGTCCAACAAGACTCAGCACTGTCTCATAAAGCACGCGTCAACCAAGAATGGTTAAAAAGCAACGTTCCCAGCTTTCGTTCTTCGGCACAATCGATTTCTCTATCTGAGGTATTTTGAAGGCAACAGTTTGCCAATAAACGCTTGAAACGGGAATGACAATGTATACCACAAAGTCCCTTGCGTGTATTGTGCTCATTGATTGTGTTCATCGCCCGTCTCAAGGACAAATAGCGATCGAATTGAAAACATTTATAAGCAGTTTTTTGAGTTGATTATTTCCAAACATTTTTTCAAATTAGTTAAAATTATTAAGAAGCAAAAAATTACACTTTTTTAATCATTGCGCACTTCATACAAATCAGGCTGCAAATGTTTTCCATAAAGTATTAATCAAAATATGTTATATTTTAGGTCGCTCACCAGTGATCCCATTTTGCACACGAGCTGTAACTCTTCCAGAAATATCTGAAATGGGCAACTATCACCACTTCTTTCAAGACACCGAAACAGTGGCAAGTAATAGCGACATGCAACCAATTTCATTCTCCCCGGAATTACCCGAAGAAACATTATTGGGTGTAAGTTCGTTTAAGCTGCTGATCTTGTTCATCACGTTTGGAAGCGAAATAAATACACTATTAATAATCTTTTATTTAACACATTTCAGAAAGAGCACACCGAAACGCTGGCAAAAATCAACTTTGTTCTGGCGCTGAGCACTTGTATAATTGATCTGGCTTCCCAAAGAGCGACACCAATCAACGCCTTGGTAAATAGAAGCTCAAGCAGTACAACTCTTCCCACTACGGAAGTAGAACGCCGTACTGAGCAAATGGTATTGTTGGTAAGGGCACTTCAGCTGTTGAGCAGCGGATTGGCATTAGCTACCAAGCAGCTGAAAAATGGACAGCTGAGGCCCAGTACTGCAGTGAAAAACGGTGAGAAAGTACTTATTTGCTCTCACAGAAGCGATAATACGATCCTTTTTGAACCTCTTCTCAATAAAATTTCGTTTCTTATGGCTAATTTTATCCAGTTTTTGCAAAAGTTTCCGAGCAAAAATAATTGCAATTAATAAAGCTAACTGACTGATGGCAATATGCTATGCAATGCTGAAAACTTTTTTAAAGTCTATTGGCTGCAATGGACTTGTGAGATTTTGGGCAAATCAGACATAATTATGCATATGTGTGGATTTGCTTGGAGCACGAATTTTTCAATTCATGTTTTACAGAGATTTGTGAGATTTTGCTTCAACGTGAAGGCTTTATACAATATAAATAATCGATAAGATTAAGGATCAGCCGTTAACTGCAATTTACAAATTTTGTGACTTGTGGGGTTTTGTTTGGCACCTGCTCATTTTAACTGCTGCTGTATGTTTTAAGTTGTTTAATTTGATGGAGACAATTGCCACATTCAAATCGCATTCAGTGGTTTGTGAAAATATTCCCGATATATTGGAAATTCAGGTCATGTTTATTAGTTTTTGATTAATAAATAAATAGAAGTAAATGTGCAATTTCATATATTAAATAAGTAATTTTTAGTTCAAATAATATTTATTTTTACAACAAATTAATTAAAATTTCCGTTGGGTAAGACAGCTAATTTCTGTTACGGCTGTATAATCAACTAGCACTATATCCTTAATACAAATTCCACTTCCATATACATCCACTCATTCATTACTCTCCACAAGAAAGTACCTACAGAGTTGAAAGATGAAATGTTGGGGTAACTGAAGGAACTAAGTGAATAAACATAAGTACAACTCTTTGTCATTTAAACCAACACTCAATCTTCGCTAATAAGAAAGTTATTAATGATTGTTAATAAAATAGGCACTCAATTTGATATATCTTGTATTGTAAGTAATTTGGTTTTTTTTCTTTTTCAGTGGTATCAACACTTAATACAAAGTTTCGTTCCACTCTCATGGACTGCAAGCAATTGAACAATTCTGGTTTATTGAACAAGATTGGAACTACTGACATCACTGCTGACAAGATAATCTACAATCATGCCATACAAATGGTTGGTATTATTTTATTCACTACATATCATGCTGAATATTTCAGAAAATTATTTAGTTTAACTTTTTTTTATCAATTTGCTGTCAAAAATAGTAATATCACGCTTAAATTGGGGTTATTAATTGAAATATGTGTAAACCATGTAAAACAAATACGAGTCGATAAACTCTAAATGAAAAACTAAAGAGAAATTAATTATATAATGGACAAAAGTCATTTTGGAAAAAAATCCATAATATGAAACAATAGATATTATATTACTAGCTCTGAATAGCTATTTATCCATGTACAGTGAAACTGTTTAATTATTTCAGTGCCAGACAGCAGCCTTAGACGAACTATTCGGAAATCCAGAGCAGTGCTTCCAAAGATATCAAACTGCGCAAATTTTGCTTCATAGTCTTTCACAGCAGGTTCAAAACCTTCAAGATAGAATACTCTTAACGAAATGTAAGTATTTTCTATTGATTCTGTCCATATCCACAATAAATGTTGAAACTGGACATCGAAATGTCTGGTGCAAGAAGGATTTCTAAGAAATACTTTCTCAAAAAGCATTCTCATTACAGCTCTTACTGTGTAAAACATGTAAATGTTAACCACATTTCTTAACTTTGATTCAAATTGTTGTATTACACACATAAAATTGTTTCAGATAAAGATGCAGTGGAGAAACGATTATACGTACTTCAGCAGCAAGGTTACATATTTGCAACCGATCTGCAATAAAATATAACTACTGAGCGAACAGCTACTCGAAGGCAGTTCGCTTTAGTATTTTTCTCCTTTGCTTTAATATTTTCAGCTACTAAGCTGGCATTTCGATATTTAAATGATAATTCTAACAAAAACTAATTTGTTGGTAAGTACCTGGCCATCTGCTGCAATTCAGCACTCAAATAGTGAGACGTAAACATTTCATATTATCCGAACAGGACAAGTTGAGTTTGTTTGGAAAATTATTTTATTGTTAGCAAGAAATGAGTTTCATTAGGCGTATTTTCAGTATCAATTTTGGAGGCAAATAAAGTACAGGTAAAAGAAAATAAAAATTATGGTTGTGTGCGAACTGCTGTAAATAAGGCTTCCAAGGAGAGACAACTCCAGTGCTTAATGGCAGTGCTTCTTTCTACACGAGTTCTTAGTTTCGATGTAGCAAATGTACCTATTCTATTGTAAATTGTAAAGTGTTTACACATGCTACCTTATTAAAAGCACAATGAAGAGTTTTAGGCGACATACTTACCTTAATGCATACAGAAGTGAGAGGTTTATTGTCATTGTTTAGCTGCAAGTAAAATTCCTGGAAACTGTGATGGAAATGTGCAATGCTGTTTTAAATTTGAAATTGGCTTATAAAAATTTATATCCTGAAAATTATTTCGTGCTAGACATTTTAACAAATTGACATCAAATTGTCCCTATCAAGTTTTACGAGAGAATCTACACACACACTTCCATTTATTCATAAACAAAAACTATTAAATTAAATTCATTTTTAAAACTGGTAGCCAGAGCCAATATAGCTTAATTTGAAGTTAATTTTAAATGCCGCCATAATTAGCAAACAAGTTAAAGTCCAAATCTATGCAAATTTTTACATTGAAAATTGCCGACCACGATATTGGACGGATTTTTTGAGCAGTGTTCATTCGTTTGGGACATTTTCATGCATATCATAACATGCTCTCTGCTCTCTTAATTTTAATTGCTGTTATCCGATGCACATATCATAGTTTGATGAGAAAACCGTATTTGGAATGGAAAATGGAAATATTTTTACAAATGTATTTCAGTGACTGTTAATAAAATAATTCCGCTCGAATGTATACCAAATTGAGCTCGATACAGTATTTAAGCTTTTTTTTAATATTCGGTTTATTTTGCTCCAGTTTTCCTACACTAGTCGCTTCAAACTGATGGCTTTGTTTAGTAGGTTTTTTAGTTTTTTTACTCTCCGTCTATTTTAATCATTTTGGTTTGGTTGTACAGGGCAATTTGTTTGTACGTTTGAAGCTTCATAGCCGTTATCTGACTTAACAACATTAGTATGCATTAGGGTCTGATTTGTCATATTAATCTTTAACTTAACGGGTTTAGTAGTATGTTCGTAAAATGTTTATATGTAATTAACACAAACTTATTATGACATCATTATTGCACGAATTAATACTGAGGTGAGCAAAATGTAAGTAAATCATGTTATGTAAAGTATATTTTGCAGCAATTATTTTGATAATTTGCGGGGTAATGCAAATATTTACTCTAGGGATTTTGCAGGCGAAACGCAGATAATATTTACCGTGCATTGGTAGGTGAACATCCCAAAACACCCTGTTTGTATATAACCTACTTATATGTCATATTATATATCTAAATTGCAATTTCGGTTTAATTGAAAGGAGTAACTTGGGTGCCAACATTAACTCTTCTTTGTTGGGTAATTTACCAATTAAAGTATAAAAAATTAATTGGTTTACGTTAATAACAGATTTGTCTTCAGCTTGATGTCTAGAAACGAAAACTAAAAACGTTTGGTTAAAAAAAAACTTATACTCAAGCTCTTAGCCATCACAAATAAACATCTACGTTGGCTTCAATCTTAAAAATCTAATTCTCATTTAGTTTTTTTTAATGCTCAATAAATGTGGTTAACTATATTTCAGTGGAACGTTTTTATTGGTTCCAGTACTTCATAACAAAACTGACTATTTTGCAGTTTATTAATTAATTATTTGGTAAAATGCGTTTAGGTATAGTCTACATATACAGTATAAACTACGTATATTTTGTCGTATTATCCTTAATTGTTTACTTTATAGTGATATTTTTCATAATAGCATAAGTAAAGTTAATTATCAGTTCTGTAAAGTTCATACCTATATTATAAAAAAATAATTAAAAAAATATAAAAGTGAACGTTTTCGTTGTTTTTATCAGTTATAGTGGAGATGATAACACTTCGTGCAGGATTATTAACTTCATGAAATAATTAAGCACTCAGTTATTTTTTTAAATTTTTTATTGCTGCATGTATTCTAATATAATGGGTAAAACCTTTTCGTTGCAGGGTCGACATATCCTTATTGAGGTACTTATTGAGGTGCTAATTGGGACAAAGTTTATACAAGAAACTGTTTTATAAGTATTAGGTTAGTACTTACAAAAAATAATAATACATGAAAACATCAACAGGCACTTAAATGAACAAAACAATAATTAGGTACCACAGTAACATCCTACATAGAGCATGTTATTTAATTTTCGCATATTTTTCTAATGGGAATAGTTTTTCCCATTCTGCGTATCTTTTTTCATACAATTTCTCCTGTATGGTCAATTTATTGCCGATATCCAGATACTTTTGAGTCTTGATGTTGTATGGCTCCCACTTTACGTTATCTAATCTATCATTCGGTGTAGGTATGGGTGTTCTAAAAAAAATCCCAAAAAATTCAAGTTAAAATTCTGGTTTAATCAGCATATGATTTTAAAATGCATTTTTAATTATTTCTTTTCAGAATCTAGAATTCTTAATTCAGAATTAATTTCAATTGTGGAATCACGATTGGTGGATGTAAAGTATTTGATTTCATTGGTTGAATTAAAAGGTGAATGTTTATTTTGGTATTATAAATTATCATTATCAATTATTATTTTAAATAAATTGAAAAATAATATCTTACCCATATTTGGCAAAATTGGCATATAAAATCGTCAATTTATTCACCATTTCAACCTCTTTGGGTGAGTTTTCTTTAAACGGGGGAAACAGTTTTGATATGTAGAAAAGGTAAATTAAATCATCATGATGAACCACACCTGGAAAAACAAACGACTTAAAGTATTAAAAGTTACAATTTATATTATGTAAATGCAAAGTTTGATACTTAGTTCTTATAATTATTATAAATGTTTTCGCATTTATGCAGTGCTAACGGCTGAGTATATTTAAGAAAAAGATGGTGAATACTAAGAGTATGTCAGCCCGTACTCCGAGAATAAGGTTGAATAAAACAACTAATGTTCCATTTCAAACGAGAAAATTGTCTAAATAAAAAACTCATGTATGCGCTTTAAAGATATTTGCTTTCAACGGAATTCCATTGGGTTTTCGGTTAATAATTCCAATCGGTTTTCCACCAACCACCACCAAACCCGTTCCACCAAGTTTATTGTCAATATGAAATAACTTTCATACAAGCTTTGTTTTCTTATTAATGAAAACAATGTTATGTTAAGTTAAGCGGTTCGCAAAATAATGTTTTTCTTTTAATTTACCAGCTTACCATATGGTTTTGTGTTATTACTATCGGGAGTGTAGAAGTGACTGTACCTTCCTTGATAACTGAACTTGTAATAATACGTAGAAGCGTTGTTTTTCTCACTAATCAGTTTCACAGCTCTGTTTACACCGAATCCAATGGAAGCATCGGCATAAAGCTGAAATATCAGGTAAGAAAATTGCAAAATATTGAATAATTAAATAAGTTTTCAAACAAAATCTTACCTCGCCAAGTTTTCCCAACGAACTTTTATCAACCGCTTTATCTTCCAGGTAGAATTTCTTTAGAGCCGCGCTCACTGCTTTTGAATGATCTGACTTTCTTTCATATAAGAAAGAAATCGGAGCTTTGTCTTCCCATTTCTCGTTAATATCCTTAAGTAGAGTAGCGTTGTTAACAATACCTAGTCAAATTAAATAACTTCAGTACGTTTCCTAACACTAAACAATTGGAAATAATATAAATGCATTTTTGTATGAATTGAAAATGTTTTAAATTGCTAATATTTTCGAGCGGTTTCACGCACCATTCTGTCAGGAGTGCATTTTAGAATTGCACAACAAAAAAATCAATTTTCGAGTCAAATCTTATAAATGAGAGAAAATGCTTACAAATAAGATCAATCTGACTAAATATTATGACTTTAAAATTAAATTAGCTCAGCATAGATGGAAACAGACTAAAACCGTTGCCAAGATCCTGTCCTATGAGACTAGAGAGTTTGTTAGGAAGCCCTACAGAGTGTTGTCTTGTATCAAAAGCTTCGACATATTTTCAGACTACTTTTCTACTCTTTGATATTGAATGGTTTGGGTTAGACGTATCTTGGTTTTAGTAACTAATATAGATGTAAGAAATATAATAATACCTACAAACTAGGCATTTAATGTCAAAATGTTTATTTACATCCTAAAATTAATATATATTTCTGATTAACGAACATTTAATGAATATATCAAGTCGCGTCGAAAATTAAACATCTGAGCTAAACACTATTCAGTCCCAGAAAATAAAGCCGGTTTCATATTATCTATCTATCTGATGTAAAATTATTTGCAGTTGGAACTTTGAACACTTTATTTGATTGGAACTAATCTGTGCTAAACAATAATAAAGCATGTCTTTACTACTACTGAAAAAGTGTTAAGTAAAAAATTTAAGATAGTGCTGACAGAGGCAAAAGGTTTAAAACCAGTGCCAATACGTTTGTCACATAAAATGCAGAAATATATATCTTGTTTGATAAATATTAGAAAAACCACTGAAATCGATCCTCATTCAGATGCATATTTGTTTGCCAATCCTAATTCAAAAGATAAATGGATGTCAGGCACAAAAGTTATTAGATGTTTGACTGAAAGTTCTGGGGCTGTTTATCCCAAGTTATTACCTTCAACAAAATTT